GCATGGTAAGTCTGGAAGGCATCTGTCAAGCCCAATACTTTAGGAAACCAGAGAAATGGGTGCTCTGCCTGTTCTCAAATCCCACACTTATTTAGTGGTAGAACCAGGGTCATAGCTTGTCTCTTGACCTTGATCACTATCTAGGCCATGTTGCCTCTCTTCAAAGCCTAGTTTTCAAGGCAAAGTCAAAAAGGGATTGTGAGAAGTCAACATCATGAATAGCTAGATACACTCTCTTCTCTTTTCCCCAGTTTGCAAAGGTTCTTGAGAAGGGGATGGTAAAAAGGAATACTCCTTAAAGGAAGAGACAGCCATAGTGCTTCCTCAAGCCTTTTCCTCTATAGCATGGGGAGATCTGTGTGTTTCAAAGAACACTTCCTCTGTATGTTTCTGATTCATTTGCACTTAGCTCATCAATATGTTGTTTGTACAAGAACCATTTGATGTCCAAGAAATCTCCTGGGCCTCTTAAAGGGTTTCAAAATAATTTATTTGAACCAGAGAACTGAACTTTGCCAAGAGTAAATGGAACTCAGATATCAAAAGGTCTGAGTTCAGTTTTCATTGAATCAAAGAGTGAGTAGTTTCTGAACTGGGCCAAATGCATTCTCCTAACTTTAATTTACAGTACATTGTTTTGGCAAACTCTACAATCCTGAAAGTTGGCTTTTCTCCTCTCATTCCTTTCTAGGGTGCAACCACAAATGTATCTTTTAGTTAACTTTACAAAAAAAAAAAAAAGGCCCTATTATAACAATTTATGAGAGCCTCACACATCACTATTCCTGTAAGTATCAATTTTATTAGAACAAATTGGCATGTTTAAAAAGGTTAAAGCTCTCCTCTGAAGCTGTAATTTTGTTTGATCTCCTATGAAGATTTCTATTTCTTTGTCTTCTCATCTGGGATTTTATCAAAAGGGATGCTTCAATAAATGGTCAGGCCAAGCAGATATCAAGTTGAATACCTGAGGGCTACTGTTGCTTGTGGTGCTCAGATTTGGAGGATGCTCTGCCTTCCAAGGAGAAGGGGTCAGATAAGTGATTAGTAATTTGAGTTTCTTTTTAATTAAAAAAAATCTGAAAACAAAAAATGGGGCAAAATTAAATTCACCCCAATTCTGCCACTTCAAGATAAGCACTGTTAAGTTTTGGTGGATTATTTTCCTTTTATTCTTAGACTGTATGTATATCTATAAATCTTTATCAGTACATGTATATATGTATTATAAAGATGGGATATCATTTTTTTATAGTCTACTTTTCCATTTGTTAGTTCATTCTTGTCTATATTAATACAATTATATTTTTTCACGCATAAAATTCAGTTGTACAGATGATTACTTAAGGGTTCTGTGAGGAGTCTTTTGATTGCAAGCGACAAAGAATTTGTGTCAAACTGACTTAACCACAACAGGAAATTTTTTGGCTGACATCTAAAAAGCCCAATAGGACATCTGGTTTAAGGTGTGGCAGGATTCAGATCTCTTACAACGTTATAGGTCTTCTTTTTTCCTCTCCATTTGCTCTGCCTTCTGCTGCTTTGGTGTCATTCATATGTCACATGGAGAGGCAGAAATTCCAGAGTATGTGCATTCAGAGGCTTGCCTGGCAGAGGACAGCAAGTGTCTGTTCCAGCATGTACCATGAAAATCTCATTGCGCTGGTCCCACAGCAATCTCTGGTCCTGTCACTTGGCTTATGCCTGGGTTACATGACACATGCTTGGAATGTGAGCGTTTCACTAGGAAAACAAGGACTGAGAATGATAAAGGAGGGAGAAGTGGACCCAGAGGAAAATAGGAGGGTTATCAGGAAGAGAATGAATTAATGTTGGGTTTTCTAGGGCTTTCATAACAAAGTGTCACAAACTGGGTGGCTTAAAAATAAAAATTAATTGTCTCACAGTTCTGGAGGCTGGAAATCCAAGATCAAAATACGCAAGCTTGGCTCATTCTAAAGGGCAGTGAGGGGAAATCTTTCATCTCTCTCCCCTCCCTTTAGGTGTTATTGCCTTCGTGTTCCTTGGCTTGTAAATGTATCCCTGGCCTCTACCTTCGTGTTCACATGGCATTCTCCCTGTGTGTATGTTGTGTACAAATTAAAAAAAAAAATAAAGACACTAGTCATATTGGAGTAGGAAACCTTTCCTACTCCAATATGACCTCATTTTAATTAATTGCATTTGCAATGACCCTGTTGCCAAATGAGATCACATTCTGAGGTACTGGGGGTTAACGGCTTCAACATATGAACTTTGGGGGGACACAATTAAAATCAACATGTTTCCAACATGCTTCCATGCATTTAATGTTTCTGGCTACATCTAAGACCCATCCAGTCTGGGTTTGAGTGCTGAAACCCGCTTCTTCCCTTTTTTCTGCTGCATAGTCTAGGACGTTATAGGGTCCCTCCCATATAACTTCGTGATTAAATGTATGGGGGCTAGGAATCCGTCCTGCTGTCTGAATGTACATTACAGTCTTACTACTTACTAGCTTGAAGACTTTGGGCAAGGGGCTTAACCTTTGTCTCCTCAACCAGTAAAATGGGGATAATAGTCCTTCACCCATTGGCTTGTTTTGGGCTAGACACATAGCACTCAGTAAATGTGATCAGTATGACTGTTCCACATCTTCAAAGATGTGAGGACTGTAGAGCCAGGAAAATAACCTACATAACCTCCTAGTGTTTTCATTCTCTGGTGATAATTCAGCTCAACTTCTTCTCCTGAGGTTCTCTTGAAAGAACTTCAAGAGGGGGAAGGGTGCTTTGTTATCCTGCACAGGATAACAGGAATTCAAATTCAGTTCGGGGAACACAAAGTATTACTCTCTGTTTCCTAAAGTCAGATGTCATAAATTCTGAGCCAACTCCTTTTCTCCTAGGCAATGTGACTATTAAATACCTGTCCCCTTTAGGTCCCACTTATCTCTGTCTGATATCTTGTTTTCTCTCTTACAATTTGATCTTTCCCACCATCTTTCAGATGTGGACTGGAACCAGTCATTTTATTTACAATCTCTCTCTTTTTGGCTCCATAAATTTGGGGAAATGGAACAGATGTCTGCTGTTTTTCAAGGCGCCACATCTTTAGTTTTTATGCTTTTCCTACAGAGTCTAATTTGGCTTGTTTAAGTGCTTATTGAATAATAATTAGAACTTTGAGTTCTTGCAGGCAGCAGGACCTATTTGATACAGGTATATTAGGCCTTCCCCAGGGTCAAAGCAGGAGGAGGTGCAGATCACCTTTTTAAAATGTAGTCACTTTTTTTTTTTGTGAGTTGGTGCACTCTGTTGTCCAGACTGGAGTGCAGACTGGAGTGCAGTGGCCGCTCCCGGCCACCGCAGCCTCTACCTGCTGGGCTCTGGTGATCCTTCCGCCTCAGCCTTCCAAGTAGCTGGAACTAGAGGCGCGCGCTACCACGCCCAGCTAATTTTTTGATTTATTGTGGAGATGAGGTCTCACCAAGTTGCCCAGGTGGGTCTCGAACCCGCGGGCTCAGGCAATCCACTCGCCTTAGTCTCCCAAGGCACGGGATTGCAGGCTGAGCCACCAAGCCCAGTTTATGTAGTCACTTTCATTTAGTGCCAGGGACATAACAATAAAGAAGAGAACCACCATTCTTGTTCCTGAAGGAGTGCACATTCTGGGGACATTTCATTCCTGCAGAAAATAGAGAACTTACTACATGTGAGATATTCCTGATCATTAAATAAAACAGAAACAATTCCTGTACTGATGGTTATGTTGTGGAGGGGAAGTAGAAAGCAGAATACAATATTCATAAATACATTTTAAAGATCATATTAAAAGGTGATAAATGCTATAGAAAAAGATAGAGCAGGATAAAGAGGGATTAGGAAAGTTGGAGGAATTTACAATATTAAATAAGGTGGTTAGGGTAGGTCTCATTGAAAAGGTGATAATTGAAAAAAGACTGGAAGAAAAATGAGGAAGGAAGCCTTAATATTGGAAGGAAGAGCAAGTCCAAAGGCCCTGGGGCTTGAGGTGTGCCCCACCTTTTTAGGGAGTTTGAGGAGGCCAGTTTAGATGGAGCAGAGTGAACAAGGTGAGAATAGGAGGAAATCATTAGCAGGCAGATCAAGCAAAGCTTTCACTCTGAGTGTAATGATCCACTGGGAAGTGCTGAGCCGAGAAGTGACCTGAGTTCAGGCTTCAAAGAGCTGGTCTGGCTGCTGTGTTTAGGTTAGACTCTGCAGGTGCAGGGTGATTGCGGGTAGGCCAGTGTAATCACACGAATGGGAGGAGGGAGGTGATGGTCACTGAAAGGGTGACAGATGGAGATGATAAGAGGTCAGATTTTTGGAGACAAGACCAACAAGATTTTCTGGCAGATTGGATGTGGGGTGTGAAAGAAAAGAAGCAGGGATGATTCTAAGATTTTTGGTTGGAAAGAATGGAGTAGCCGTTGACTGAGATGACAGACTGGTGTTGAGAGTTTTTGCCTTGTTTATGAGCGTTGGGTCAGGAGTTCCTTTTGGATACGTTAAGTTTCAAGGGCTCACTAGCTATTCAAGTGGAATTGGTGGCTGGATTTTGGAGCTGTCTGGGGAAATAATTTTGGGGACATCTCTAAAGCTTCAGGAAGTGAGACCCTGCTCCAAAAGGGCTCGAAGACCTTGTTGAGGTTGTTCCAGAACTGGCCACTTCCCTCTCCTCAGCCCATTCTCAGGCAGGAAAATCCCCGGGACAGCAGCCCCTTCCTTCAGCACAACCCTTCTTTTCCCTCTTTGGGGAATGCCTGAGGAATATGAACAAAAATGATAACACGCATCAGCACGGCGCCCTCTCGCCAGCTCGCATCAGGGAGACAGGCAAGGCCCGCCAGGCTTGAAAAACCGTCCCGAAGTCCGCCACGGCACTCCAGCGGCGGCTGAAAAAGCTGGAGCGCCCGAGGGTGGGCGGGGCCTGGCGGTGGGCGGGGCCTGGCGGTGGGCGGGGCCGCGGCGCGAGGGCACGCCGCAGAAGAGGCGTGGCCGGCTCTGCGCGCCGGCTTGCCAGCTAGCGCGCCTCCCTCTCTCCTGCCCTGCCGCGAGTGATCAGCTGGTCTGCGCTTCCCTGACGTGGACCGGCGCACGTCACCGCCGAATGGCAGCCTCCAGAAAGGCACCGCGAGTAAGGTGAGGGGACTCTGCCAGGGAGCCGGCGTCCGGGCAACGTACAGCCCTCCTGCCCGACCGCGCGTGTTGCACCCCCAAGGGCAGGAACAAGCTGGGAGGAGCCGCGGCGCCGGTCGCTGTCGGGCTGGGGCCGCGCTTGCCGGAGTCCCTGAACGGAGGGAGGGAGCTGTGTCCCCGGGCAAGACCTGGGTCGTTTCCGGCGGGGCCGCAGGCACCGAGGGCGGCCCCTGGACGGGTGTGCCGCGGAACTGCC